AATGCATGACACATAGTTGGGGCTAAACAAATATTTGTTGAATTACGGATGGTCCTAGAAGTCAATGAAACCAAATCTTGTGTTTATTTCATTTAAAAAATTCTACTAGAACCTTAGGCAGCACTAGAAAAAAATCATAGATTGTGGGAAGATAAAAGTAAAAAAAGAAACCCCACAAAATTATGTACATCTTCCCTTTGGAGAATTTTGGAAGTACTAAGTGAAATTTTTTATATTTCATAAGATTTTTAAATACTTCAAAACAAGAACTTGGTGCCAGTAATATGTTTGGAAATGAGAGCAGCTTGCCACTGCCAAGCTCTGCTTAAACCTGTTACATGTACACATTGAAAGCGAATCCAATTCCTTTATGTATTTCCCATCAGATAAAATGTATAGAGGGGAAAAAAAATAAGTCAGCAAAAGTTAGAACTAACCTGGACAAATCTTCTACTGTAGCAACCTCAGGGAGTAACTAGCTTGAAGCAATACGTGGTGAAATGGGAATCATTTTTCTCTGGTTCTACCTACTTTAGACACTATCAATTCCATCCTTTGGAACTAAGAGGGAATTTTGGTGGGTATTAGAATGGGAGAAGCTGGAATCGGTTAGGAAGATATATATTTAAGTATTTGCTCTTTGAAGGCATTTAGTGAAGTTTTTTTTAATTTTAAGAAAAACCTGAATCAACTGTTTTAATTTATATTTATTTTTTAACTAAGTATAGGCAAATGGTGCCCAAAGTAAGTGATTTTGTAGCTGTTCTCTTCATTTACACCAGTAGCCCTAGGAATTACGACTGAGTTATGTTGACCTTTAATCATTCAAATACTGGCAAAAAAAAAAAAAAAAGGAAGGAAGAAAAAGAAAAAGAAAAACCAATATCTACACAATTACACATGGATCCTTTTATCTCAATGGTCAGTGTTGCTTTAAGTTGGGAATAAGAGTAATTGGCTGAACATTTCCCAAGAAAACGACCTCAACCTCTAACTAACTGCTCGGCTCTGAGGTGATTACTTTTTTCCTTTTCAAAGGGAAGCTGCTGCTTCAGCATCTTCTCCTGGAGCCCCTGGCAGCAGTTCAGGCCACGTGTCAGGGGAATCCTTGATCGCATCACAATGACGGGAGCCAAGTGCTGGCCTGCAAGCACTGAGGACTGTTTGTTCACAGAAGATCCCGAGCAGAAACAGGGGTGTTATATAGTTCAAGGGTGCCTTGAAAAAAAACTGACACTGCTGTAGAAGGGGACTTCCAAGTGCTCAAGTTATTTCTCATTTGCTCTTCCGCAGTCCTCTCCTAGCTTTTATGGGATTTAGCTAACAGTTGTTGCTTGGGCATTTTTCTCCCTGTAGTTCCTTGACTTAGCAAGATTTTGGACAGTTGGAAAAAAAAAGTGTTTTCATATACTATTTTCAAGTAGTGCCACAGTGAATACTCTCTGGGGAGAAAGCATTTTATTAATGAATGCAATATGTGTTCTTGGTAAAATCCAAAATTAAACTAGGTCACTGTTTTTGTTCTGCTAGCTGTTGATGACATTTAGGTGTGTTGTTTGGTGTGGTGACTCAATTTCCTGTAGGATAGCTGGCAACTCCACACTGAGGTTTTTTTAGTGGGGATGAAAAGGTCAGTTACTCGATGTCTTAGAACATTTGGGGTAAAATTCCTAAAAGTTAAAACTTTAATAATGACCCTAGAAACTGTGGCTAGCCATATTGCCTATAAATCTGAGAATTTGGGAAAAGTAGTATTCTCAGCTCTATACTAAGATCAGCAATAATTCTTTATTTGAGCGACAATTTTATAGAACAAATTTCTTTACTCTGTCAGTAATTATTTTCCTGCTTATTGGTATGTAGATGTGTTCGGGTCACTCTTTTTCCATTCTCCAGATTTATACAATGCATGCAGAGGTAGTTAGAACTTAAAATACATGTATGTACCACATTATTAGTGTACTCAAATGCTGATTGTCAAAATGGCTAATCTATGATTTGGATATAAAGTAGATCTTCTGAAATAAGTTGTCCCTCTTGTTGCTGTACTGCCTTCTTAAGGGCAAGTCCTGCATTTAAATATATGTCTGAAAGCATTGAAACTTTCCTGAATTACTTCTCCCCTTTTACAATTAAAAAGTAAATACTGGAATATAACATGTAGTGCCACATCCAGCTAAGTCCAAGGCCTATATTTCTGAAAAGTTTGAGAAGTTGGTGAAGATGGGGAGATTACTTATACTGGGGAGGTCCCTTTGAGGCTGAGACTTTAAAAGACTGGAATGCAGGGAAAGGAACATGGAAAGCCAAGCTTTAGAGGTATGGAGCGAGGATTCCTGGCTTCTGTATGTAACCAGTGACCAGAAAGATGCAGTGAACACATCCTAGGCACAATGGTTTTGCATCTATAACCCACTGGATGTGCTCACTATTGACAACTCAAATAACCTAAAATAAGTTAATTTCCTCTTAAAGTGTCCTACATCCTTATTTCATACAGTTGAGGGAGGGGGAAAAAAACAAAAACAAAACAAAACCATATAGTAGATGTACTACCATTTCAACTAGGTTGCCCTATACTTGCATATGGAAGGTATTAAGTAAAATGAAAATGTGTTATGATCATAGGCTTTATTATTGTTTGTAGTCCTTAGGGTATGGGATTACAAGGGACTTTTTTTACATTACATCCTTGTGTAATATTTCCATTTTTATAAGAATCATGTTATATTTTTACATTCTTATAATCAGGGAAAGGCTATGCAGATAAAACATTTTATACTACTTTAAATTATCTTTAAGGTTGTTACTTTTGTTGGGGGGAAAAGCCCCAATCATACTCTTTAATTTACCTGGCAAGGTTTAAGCAGCTGTTTGTTCACCTAGAGTATATATTTACAGAGATTGCTGCAGAAAAGAAAAAGGAATAAAAGAAGCAAATTTTAACATAGAGTCCCCAAAATGAATACCAAACAGTTCAAGAATCCTTGATAACAATGAGCCACGTGGTCCATGTAACAAATACTTTGAAAGTTATTCTAACTTTTACAAATTTTATGTAAAAACCTATCTGGTAAATCCTGGGGAGCCTGAGATTCAGTCTGTGGAATTCTTTGTTGTGCCACTGATTATTTATGGAGTCTAAATTTCAAGGGCAGAGTTTCTTCTCCTTCAATACCTGTAGATTCGAAGACAAAGAAAAGGGATGTCGCCAACTTCATGTAAGCTTTTCAGTGTGTTCTTTGTAATTGACAATAACCAAGTTTTATAAGATGGGACTCTTCGGAGTTTGGGTTATTTTCCTCTCTGAAAGTTTTGTTTATCTGCTTGCCAATGTAGTGAAGTTCTTGCGATTGATCCTTTTATGTAGAGCGCCCATGATCCCCAGGGTCAGCTTTTGTAAATAGAACCAGCTTCCATACTGTGCCTTTGGATGTGGTCTTTTCATTTTCTCACGTTTGTTGTTTATTCTGCACATGGTGGGCAGAAACACCCTTCCAGACTTTTTCCTTTGGCATCAGAGGACCGTCCTGGTCTCTGATTTGCAATTCCACAGACGAAGGAAGCACGTATGCAGGACATGTGTCAAGTGCTCATACTACGTGGTGCATTTACATTGCTGTTCCTTTAAGAGAACTCTTATTAGACAATCCTGAATGTGAAAATACAGCATATTGTCAAATCTGTAAGTTCTAAAGCCCTCAACATTGTTTTTGTTTGCTCGTTTATGTCCGCCCCAACATTTAGAAGTCTGGTACTTAGCAGGGGCCCGGCTGGGTACTGAAAGAGTCTGGTTTTAATAGAAGTAATTTTATTCCCACAACCACCCTGTTCCCTTGAAGTAGGTAAATCCTAAGCCCTCAGAAACGAAGCCTCAAAAACCCTAAAACCCAAGCCCACAGAAACGGTTACTTGGGTCCTAAATAACGTTTGTTTGTGCCGCCCGTCGTCGGGCTCTCCCGCGAAACCTCGCAGGGAGCAACGGATGGTGAAGACGCTGAGGCTCTGGCAGTCGGGGCGACCGGGAGGGGCGCGCGGGGTCCCCGCGGGGCAGGTGCGCGACCGCGCGCGCCTGCGCGCCAGGTCTCGCCTGAGCCCCGCGGCGGGCGCGACCCCGGGGGGCGGGCGCTCCACGCCGAGTTTTGGGCCGCTCCCCTCGCGCAGCCCCACGGCAGCCCCACAGACACACGCGCTCGCGCCCGCGCTTCCCGGGCTTGTCTTCAAAGCGAGCGGCCCCGGGCTGCGCGGGGTGATGCCCCGGCGAGGCGGTGGGGCGGTCGAGGCTGGGGCTTCGGGGAAGGCGGCGGCGGGGGGCGCGGGCGGGCCTTGGCAGTTGGCAGGCTCCTTGTAAGGGAGCTGAGGAGGGGCCAGGCAGCGGCGAGGGCCGCGAGGGGCGTGAGGGGGAGTGTTCCCGGAAAGCCGCGGCGATGGAGCCGCGGTGCGCCGGGCGCCGGAGGAGTTGAGAAAGAAAACAGGAAACGTGGTGGCCGCGCACCCGGCCGCGGCTGATTCATTCGCGTCGTGAGAAGGCTCGGCAGGCGGAGTGGGCGCGGAGACGCGGCTCGGGCCGGCCGGCGACGAGATCGGGCCGTGGACCAGGCGCTCCCTCCGCGGGGCTGGCCCCAAGGCGCGCGCGCCGCCCCCTTCGCCCGCTCCCGGGCTGGCACTCGGGCCCGCTGCACCGTCGAAAAGTCGCACCGTGGGGTTTTTGCCCGTGTCTCCGTGTAAAAGTTGGCTTGCCGCACTTTGTGCACCCTCCCTGGACGCGGGACTGAGACGCCAAGCTGGAGAAACCGTGCTTCCCCGAGGCCGGCCGCCCCGCTAGCTGAGCCTCGGCCCCCAGCGCGGTGGCCGGCTCGGCACTATGAAGGAGCAGCCCTCATGTGCGGGCACCGGGCATCCGAGCATGGCGGGGTATGGCAGGATGGCCCCCTTTGAACTCGCTGGCGGCGCCGTGAAGCGCTTGAGAACTGAGTCCCCCTTTCCCTGTCTCTTCGCAGAGGAGGCCTACCAGAAACTGGCCAGCGAGACCCTGGAGGAGCTGGACTGGTGTCTGGACCAGCTAGAGACGCTGCAGACCAGGCACTCCGTCAGTGAGATGGCCTCCAACAAGGTAAGGCCCGGCTCTGCCTGTCGCCAGGGCCCCTAGACTGCTGATTCCCACGCTGGTGAAGCCGCCAGCCCCTGTGGCCCTGAGAAATACATAGAGATTTTGTCACACTGCATGTTGGCTGTTTTGCTCCCTTGGAGGGAGGTTCCTGACTGTGCCTTCCCTGTCTCTTACATTCACTCCAGATAAAGTAAACATTTTGCAAAAGCAACTTTGACATAGTTTGATTACAGCACCCCAGGCCACAGTGAGTGGGGATTTTTGGGGGGGGGAGGGGAGTGGGCTTGTCAGTGACACTTTGCCCTTGCAGCAGGAACCCAGGCGGGGCCGTTGGCATTGCATGCTTAAGGGTATTCTTGGGACTCCCAGTTGGGAATAAGAGTTGCTGGAGGTCAGTGCAATCTCTGGGATGTCACCACCTACCGCACTCAACGCTCAGTAGAGTTCACTGAACTTGGAACCTTAACTCTCATTTATCTAGATGTTAGGGTACATTGTAAGAACTGAGCTTTTATATGTTCTCTTAGCCTTAGGTGTCCACAGGAAATATCAAGAAAGTTAGAAAGTTCATTATGATCATTACCTTTGTTTTCATGAATCTTGGAGAGAAATCCAGTTTTCTGAGGTCATTTAGTATGTTTCAGTGGGTCATTTGTGCCATATATGCCGAAGTGCTGGCCTCGGTGGTCAGTGGAGTTTTGGGGGACTGAGAAGTAACCTTCAGCCTGAGACAGCCTTAAAGCAAGGTATAGTGTTGTCAGTGTTACTGTATTTTTTGGAATTTCTCTTCCTTGTGTCTTTAGTTATGTAAGGAAATAACTGGGATTATGTATGTTTTTAATGAATATTTGGCTGAGGGGATAGGAAAGGAGGCACATTCACGTTGGATGCAGATGACTGAGGGATTCAACCAGTAAAAACTGTTAACTTTGTGTGGCAATTGCTAACAGTTGCCTCCTAACGATATTTAAATATTTTGGCCACCTATTTACAAGGTCAGGAAGGTTATACCATTTTACAGTTTATCTGTGTGCACATATCTTTAACTGAGTGATCCTCTTTCTTAGCTTATTGTAGTTTTTATCCCACCTTTTTTTGTCCCCCAGTCAGTTTTTTTTTAAATACCATAGCATATCAGCCACTTGATTGTCTTATCTGTTGACAATGCTTACATAGATAGCATTGTTTTTGAAGTGAGAAGTTAGCTTCAAATAGAATAAAAGAGACTCCTCACGCACTTTCTACAGGCACTAACTTACCCGTAAGCACACTGACCTAACCCAAATGCACACTGGGGATCAGGTCTGGGTTTTTTGTTTGTTTTGTTTCGGCCTCATTTTGAACTTTGGTGTGGCTCCTCATCAAAATAACCCATCATTGGGCTCTTACTTCCTGCTGTGGCATCAGGTGCCATTGTTTTCATCTGGTTAACAAAGTCTTAGTTCATTGATTAATTTCATAAAATAGAAATTTTTTTAAAAAATTTGATTGATAATAGCAGTAGACTGTGCTGAGTATCTTCAATGTCCTACATGCTGAATGGGACCATTCTGCAGGGGGATTGAGTTCTTAATTCTCTTGTCTGGTTAATTCTGTATAAAAAAGAAGAGCAGAATCAGAAGGCACCCAAAGGGATATGCACACATTTGGTTATGTTTTCAAGGTGATCTGACAGTACTTTTTCAGAGAAATGAACCTGAGCAGCTATAAGTAATTATAGAATCCATATTCTTAATTCCCAGAAATCCATATTCTTAATGATGAGACCTATGTTTGAATTTAAAAATTAACATGAAATCTAATAATGTATTGTAAGTGATGTCAACTGTCAAGTAATTAGTTTATCAATACTTTAAGATTTTTAAAAATAAAGCTTTAGGTCACAGTAATTGATCAAGATGATTTCTTTCTTTAATGGCACCAAATAAGACAGGATTTTTTAAAAATCTCCATTGTGAAAACACCCAATTAAACTTTGAGTTAATTTACAGATTTAGTAGAGAAGGTGCATTTATTTGGTTGAAGGGAAATGTAGGTTAAGTGAGAAAAGTCTTTAAGAAGGTGATTCTAGCTGTTTGTGTCTTGTGGTTGAAAGATTATTGACAGGACACTTATTTTTAACATTAAAAAAACTCAACTTGGCTGAAGCTGTTGCTTAAACTTCTAATTTCTAAGCTATCCATTTCCTTTTTTTAACCCATTCGTTTTTACAAGAATGCTAAACTCATGTAACTTTTTATAGGTGAAAAGGGATTATCAAAGAAGGAAAAAAAGCTCTTGGTAAATGTTGTAAAGTTACCCTTCTGCTTTCATAACAAGGGCAGGAAAAAGTCACATCCACATAAGCTGTAAACTGAGTGGGAACAGCTGATCTGAAGGTCCCCGTGAGTGATGCCCAACCTAAGTCTGAACTGGACATGTGACAGCTTGCAGCACACATCTCTTGAGGATGAATGAATACGTCTGAAACATTGCTTTCTGGTTATGTTTTATTGCTGTCCATTATTTTTACATATACTTGTTTGAACCAGCCAGTATTTTCAGGTTATTCTCTTTCTGCCTTTGAAAAATCATGACATTTTTACATGTTCTTCTCACTTGAGTTTCTTTTTTAAATTTAATAGTATAATGTAACATAATAAAAATACTAGTAAGGTCATGATTTTTAAGTGCTTATAGAGAGGAAGTATTTATTACAGATACAGATTTGGGTATTTAGGAAGAAGGAAATTGATTCCTTCAACCCATTTAACCATTTGGGTTAATAGATGATTTTTGTGTTTTTGAAAATCTTAATTAAAGGAATCCAAATTAGCAGTTTTAAAATGATACTTTGGAAGTAACTACCTATATTTCCTGATTGATACTGTAATGTGCATAATGCTTGTTGATGCTACTAAGGCAGGAGAATTATTGAATTCTTGGCCAAGGCCAACATGGACTGTAATACATGTAGGATGCTTGTACCAAGTAGGGTAAGAGACTCCAGATGGCATTTAATTTGAGTGATTAAATCTACAGCACTTACCCTCATAAGCACATTAATCTCCCTGAGATTTGTACAGATTTCCTTTGGAACCTCATTGCTACAGTTGAGGGAGGTTTTGGTAAGGTCTCAAAGCTTTGCAAGTAGGCAGACCTGTAAGTTAAATCTTGGTTTTGTTCCTTGCTCGCTGAGTTACATTAGAAAAGCGAATTCAACTTTTTTAGGTTCAGTTTCCTTAGCATAAAATGAGCACAATAATATCCATTTTGAAAGATCAATGTAAGAGTTTGAAAGAATATATATAAAAGAGCTGTCTAATAAAAACTTTGTGATAGTAGGCACTATACCTGTTGTTACTGGTATTATTTGAGATTTAGGTCAAACTTCCTTAATGGTCTTCTTAGCTAAGATATGGGTTTTTTACCATTCAGTTATAATTTTTGCTTGACATTTTAGACTTCCTGAATTGTTACAATGTAGTCCTTAGATAACCGTCTTAAGTAACATCTCTTTATTACAAAAAAAAGGCTTATATTATATTTACACAATTTTTGGTATAATTCAGATAGAAGCATTTTGAACTTCCAATTAGAAGTTTAGTCTTTTCTTAAATTCCAGTTACAGAATTCCAGACAGAAGTGCAAAATACTTTTTCTGTTTTACTCTAAAACTGAAAACACAGCACTTTATTAATTCTTGGAATATGCTAAACATAATGTGATATTGGTGAGGACATTTCCATTCTTTTGTACAGAATTTGCAAAGTTAAAATACCTTTTTAGACTATTTTTAATGCAAAATAGTTTCACAGTGTTTTTGGTTACCTTTCTCTCAAGGAAAGTAAGTTGAGGATGTGAGGAGGGCAGGCCAGGAGTCTAAGCCTCAGGGCTTTCAAAAATTATGCTTTGGAGAGGTGCCTGGGTAGCTCAGTTGGTTGAGCATCCAACCCTTGATTTTGGCTCAGGATTTTGGCTCGGGTCATGATCTCATGATCGTGAGATCAAATCCCGCGTTGGGCTTCATGCTCAACAGAGAGTCTGCTTAAGATTCTCTCTCTCCCTCTGCCTCTGCCCCACCCCACCTCTAAAATAAATAAATAAATCTTAAAAAAAAAAAAAAAGATTCTGCTGTGGAACCCTGTCACTTTATCCTCTTATGACCTAATAATACATATTTCACCAGGCCTTCAGAGTGAGTGCAATGATGCTTTAAAGGAGAAAATAAAATCATTTTGATTTCCTCCTAAAATATACCACTATAAAAGTATATTTTGTTTCTCCTCTCTAATTTGGGGGCACTTTCAAGGCTTGGCATTGCTGGAAACTGCTGTGCTTCAAGTGGCAAGTCTCTTGAAGTTAGGATTCAAGCATCCTTCCAAGAGACTTCAGGTTTTTCTTTAGTTAATTCTAGATATACATCTAGCATTACCAACTTAGCAAATGTGGTCATGACTTTCTTATGTTATTTATTTTGTCAATTTACTTATTAACCAACATCTCTATCATGTTTATGTTGCCTGTAAATTAATTGCTTTTCTGGGGTGCTTGTTATTCGTTCTTCCACTGTCTGCTCCCCCTGGTGCTTTTGAATAGTCAGTGCATACATAAAGCAATACTAGAGCTTTCTGTGGCTGCTGATGTTTTTTCTTCTGGGCAAGACGGGTGCTGGAATGAATATAGAATGTTCATAGGGTGGTTAAATCCTAAAATATTTCAGCATTACAAGGATATAACTCTAAGAACAGAAATAAATGTTTAACTTTTGCTAAGAAAGAAGAAGGTTTATTTGGAAAAACATTTTAATTTTATGAAGAACAAATCGCAAATAACACTTATTTTCTACATTAAAATATTAAAACTTACTGATATAGTCATAAGAGAATTAAGAGTTAACATGACTAAAGGAAAACCTTATATTTTAAAAGAATATATCTTCTATAACTGTAGAAACTCGACTTACTGATGTTTTGAGTTTGCGGTCTCCTTTTTCATCCACTTAATAAAAGTAGATTTGGCAA